AGGCTCGTCAGCACGCGTCTGTAGTCAATACATCCACTTCATCACTCTAAGGTTTGATGGCTCATTGTAAATAACTGGGGTGAGGGAGTTCATTGATAATACCCTTGAGACTGCCTACCAATCAGCCTTCCAATCAACTAGCCCTCTAGCAAACCCCTCCAACCAGCCAGCCAAACACTACACTTTCCTAACTAGCCACACCCCACTAGGTAGCCAAATGCCACCCTTACTGACCAGCCACACCCCACCAACCAGCCAGTCAAGTGATACTGTTCACCAGCCACTCCACACCCACTTGAATCAAGCCAACTCACCACACCTGAATTGTCAACCAACCAGTTTCAACCTTTAATATATCACTAGATGATCCACCCAACAATAATAATACAATATCTTTATTTCTAGAAGTACATGCACAAGGTATACAGGCCTAACTGACATCAATAACATACTACTATATAGAAAGCCCCTTGTTATGCAGAGCATTTCAGGCAAATTAGGTCAATTTTGTCCCAGGATGCAACCCACACCAGTTGACTAATACACAGGTACCCATTTTACTGATGGGTGAATAGGGACAACAGGTGTAAGGGAACACGCCTAATGTTTTCACACTTGCCGGGAATCGAATCTGGACACTAAGTATGTAAAGCAAGAGCTTTGTTTCCCAGGCCATGAGGCACCCAGTTTGTGCATATAAACATACAGAGTAGGGTATTAGCCTAGATAAGGAACATCTTGAACAATACTAAACAGTGGTAACTAGTAATGCTACAAGGATCAGTGTTGGGACCCAATACTGTTTATGATCTATCTTGCCATTGGAGTATGAGCAAGGTAACAAATATGAGGGTTTCAGGGGAAACCAGTTAGCCAAATTTGAGTCCTGAAAGTGGGACGTAGTGCCTGCACTTGGGAGGGGTGAGGGTATTCCAGTTTGGAGGGTCATCTTCATTGTAATGTCGGCACCCTTCTAATAAAACAATGATTAAATTAGTGTTTTCTTTGTCGTGTCACCTTACCCTGGTGGGAGACAGCCAGTGTTAAAAAATATATCTACAGTGCTTTCCATTAAAGTATACTGGTCCCCTTCTAAAATCACGACCACAGAACAGGTTGTCCCCTGTGCTTTAGGACATCCTTCACCTGTCAAAGGAAGTGAAAGCACATTCTCCAGGGTTTCATGGGGTAAATTACCCCACAATACATGGATGACACCCTAAAGCCATGGGAGTGAGCATATATCCTTTCCCTAGTAGATTTCTTATGTATCTCAACTCAAGAGGTTCTCATTATTATTATTATTATTATCATCATAAATAAGTGCTAAACCCACAAGGGTCATCAGAGGTTCTCAATGGGGTTTCTTGGCCAGTTATCAAAGAAGGGTACCTCAGTTATGAAGCCACTGAACAACGGATTTTGTTGTGTGGCAAAGAACACTATAAGTCATCCTATTTTTCTTCAGCCTCTCTAAATGTCCAAACCACCTCAACAACCCCTCTGGATGATACTCTTAGTAATCCCACACAACCTAATCTCAAAACTACAAATTCTCTGCAAGGAGTGATTGTATTGTATGCATCAATATTTGAAGATAATGTAATACTAATAAAGGTTTGAATACAATAATACCAGGAGCAGCAGCAAGATTTTGAGGTTTCAAGAATGATGATGCAAATTGCTAATATAGTTTAACCACAACAAATGCAGCAACTTTGTGCAATTTTTTTTTTTTTTTCAACAAGTCGGTCGTCTCCCACCGAGGCAGGGTGACCCAAAAAAGAAAGAAAATCTCCAAAAAGAAAATACTTTCATCATCATCATTCAACACTTTCACCACACTCACACATTATCACTGCTTTTGCAGAGGTGCTCAGAATACAACAGTTTAGAAGCATATACGTATAAAGATACACAACATATCCCTCCAAACTGCCAATATCCCAAACCACTCCTTTAAAGTGCAGGCATTGTATTTCCCATTTCCAGGACTCAAGTCCGACTATATGAAAATAACCGGTTTCCCTGAATCCCTTCACTAAATATTACCCTGCTCACACTCCAACAGATCGTCAGGTCCCAAGTATCATTCGTCTCCATTCACTCCTATCTAACACGCTCATGCACACTTGCTGGAAGTCCAAGCCCCTCGCCCACAAAACCTCCTTTACCCCCTCTTTCCAACCCTTTCGAGGACGACCCCTACCCCTCTTTCCTTCCCGTATAGATTTATATGCTTTCCATGTCATTCTACTTTGATCCATTCTCTCTAAATGACCAAACCACCTCGACAACCCCTATTCTGCCCTCTGACTAATGCTTTTATTAACTCCACACCTTCTCCTAATTTCCACACTCCGAATTTTCTGCATAATATTTACACCACACATTGCCCTTAGACAGAACATCTCCACTGCCTCCAACCGTCTCCTCGCTGCTGCATTTACCACCCAAGCTTCACATCCATATAAAAGTGTTGGTACTACTATACTTTCATACATTCCCTTCTTTGCCTCCATAGATAACGTTTTTTGACTCCACATATACCTCAACGCACCACTCACCTTTTTTCCCTCATCAATTCTATGATTAACCTCATCCTTCATAAATCCTTTCCGCCGACACGTCAACTCCCAAGTATCTGAAAACATTCACTTCTTCCATACTCCTCCTCCCCAATTTGATATCCATTTTTTCTTTATCTAAATCATTTGATACCCTCATCACCTTACTCTTTTCTATGTTCACTTTCAACTTTCTACCTTTACACACATTCTAAAAACTCATCCACTAACCTTTGCAATTTTTCTTTAGAATCTCCCATAAGCACAGTATCATCAGCAAAAAGTAACTGTGTCAATTCCCATTTTGAATTTGATTCCCCATAATTTAATCCCACCCCTCTCCCGAACACCCTAGAATTTACTTCTTTTACAATTTCCCCTCTATAAATATATTAAACAACCATGGTGACATTACACATCCCCGTCTAAGACCTACTTTTACCGCGGAAGTATTCTCCCCTCTCTTCTACACACCCTAACCTGAGCCTCACTATCCTCATAAAAAACTCTTTACAGCATTTAGTAACTTACCACCTATTCCATAAACTTGCAACATCTGCCACATTGCTCCTCTATCCACTCTATCATATGCCTTTTCTAAATCCATAAATGCAATAAAAACTTCCTACCTTTATCTAAATACTGTTCACATATATGCTTCAATGTAAACACTTGATCTACACATCCCCTACCCACTCTGAAGCCTCCTTGCTCATCCGCAATTTCTACATTCTGTCTTACCTCTAATTCTTTCAATTATAACCCTACCGTATACTTTTCCTGGTATACTCAGTAAACTTATTCCTCTATAATTTTTACAATCTCTTTGTCCCCTTTCCCTTTATATAAAGGGGCTATACATGCTCTCCGCCAATCCCTAGGTACCTTCCCCTCTTTCATACATTTATTAAACAAAAGTACCAACCACTCCAACACTATATCCCCCCCTGCTTTTAACATTTCTGTCATGATCCCCTCAGTTCCAGCTGCTTTACCCCCTTTCATTCTACGTAATGCCTCACGTACCTCCACCACACTTACATTCTGCTCTTCTTCACTCCTAAAAGATGGTATACCTCCCTGGCCAGTGCATGAAATTACCACCTCCCTTTCTTCCTCAACATTTAAAAGTTCCTCAAAATATTCTTGCCATCTACCTAATACCTCCCTCTCCCCATCTACTAACTCCCCTACTCTGTTTTTAAACAGACAAATCCATACTTTCCCTAGGCTTTCTTAACTTGTTTTAACTCGCTCCCAAAAATTTTTTCTTATTTTTCATTAAAATTTCTTGACAGTGCCTCTCCCACTCTTTCATCTGCTCTCCTTTTGCACTCTCTCACCACTCTCTTCACCTTTCTTTTACTCTCCATATACTCTGCTCTTCTTATAACACTTCTGCTTTGTAAAAACCTCTCGTAAGCTACCTTTTTCTTTTATCACACCCTTACTTCATCATTCCACCAATCACTCCTCTTTCCTCCTGCCCCCACCCTCCTATAACCACAAACTTCTGCCCCACATTCTAATACTGCATTTTTGAAATATTCCAACCCTCTTCAACCCCCCACTACTCATCTTTGCACTAGCCCACCTTTCTGCCAATAGTCGCTTATATCTCGCCCGAACTTCCTCCTCCCTTAGTTTATACACTTTCACCTCCCTCTTATTTGTTGTTGCCACCTTCCTCTTTTCCCATCTACCTCTTACTCTAACTGTAGCTACAACTAAATAATGATCTGATATATCAGTTGCCCCTCTATAAACATGTACATCCTGGAGCCTACCCATCAACCTTTTATCCACCAATACATAATCTAACAAACTACTTTCATTACGTGCTACATCATACCTTGTATATTTATTTATCCTCTTTTTCATAAAATATGTATTACAATGTCAATTACAATATGTGCAATGTCAATGCAAAAGAACATAAAGAATGCTAGTTTTAAACCAAACATTCTAGCCCAGTATGTTGATGGTACTGTACTGTAGAACAGTGAAACAGTACTGTAAGTGTATGAAGGATAAGGAGGGATTGTTAAGGTAGTTTGGGGATTTAGAGGATGAAGCATAATAAAATGACCAAGAGGGTATAGAAATCTGAGATGTAAAGGAGAAGAGATCATCCCAGGAAGGCTTGGAGAAAGGGAGTCAAAGAGGTTTCAAGTCCTGGGGGCTTGAGAATCTAGAAGGCTTATATGAGCATGTTAGATATGAAGTAGTAGAGACAAAGGATTTTTATGGCTTGGGGTATAAACAGGATAACATTTATGAAGAGATTCAGAGAAACCAGTTAGCTGCATTTGAGTGTGGAAGTAGGAGGTATAGCATATACACTTTAAAGGAAGGGTGAGAATGTTGCAATTCAAAAGGTCACCTAACTGTGATATTGGCACACTTTTGGCAGGACACCAACTGAATGAATGGTGAATATGTTTCTTCTTTATTTTGGGTCATGCTGCCTTGGTGGGAGATGGTCAGTGTTAGAAAAAATATACTGTACACATATATTACAGCATGTTAAAAAGAAAGAGCTTAATATGAGTAACCAATAAAAGTGTAATGAACATTTGTCAATAGTACTCAATGTGTGTGCAGTATTAAAAAAAAAGTTGTGGAAAAAGGCATCTGAAATAAATTGTTACAGTCCTTGATGAACAAGACAATCAATCAAGAGATACTGGACAGTCAGGATGATCTGATAATCCACAAAATAATACTAATACTAAGCCTCATAAAGATGAAAAATAATGAAAACTTAGGGATAACAGAGGGTTTGAAAAAGCCAATAATGCATTATATACAGATACTATACATTTTATTTATCTAAATACAGTGGACCCCCGGTTTACGATCAGCTCCCAATGCGACCAATTATGTAAGTGCGTTTGTATGTGTATGTTTGGGGGTTTGAAATGGACTAATCTAATTCACAATATTCCTTACGGGAACAAATTCAGTCAGTACTGGCACTTGAACATACTTCTGGAATGAAATAATATCGTAAACTGGGGGTCCACTGTATACTGTACATTTCCTCTAGCCAAAAATTCATTCTTAATATGGATAGTCAAACACTGTACTAAACAGTGATAAATACCTCAGAAATCTTATATTATCACAGTTTCTTAAGATATTTCAAAATTGAAACTGAATTCCTTCTTTTTCTGTTACTGCATATTAATGTTTTTTTAGGTTGGAATGAACATATTTGTTTTGCAAGTTCTTGTTCTTGAAAAATTTCATTTTGTATACACTCTGGGAGGGCATTAAAAACAGATGGATCAATTTCATCAACTGTTATGCAAGATTTACGAGGTGAACTTTCCACACGAAATGAGTCACTGTTACTATTTAAAATAGTTTCCCCATTACTTGTACCAGAACACTGAATTTGAGAGGAATCTTTCATAGTGTAGCTGCATGAAGGTTGGCAGTCTTTTTCCTGCACATTGACTGTACATGGGATACCTGTACCACACAACTCTTCCACAGATACACTGGAACCCTTCTTTTTGTTGTGAACATTTGGTCTAATTGTACTCACACTTACTTGTGGTTTAAAATAATTATCAATTTTTTTGTTTTTAATTAAATTATTTTTCATAGGACTAACTTGTTTGAACTGTAACACTTTTTCTGTTCTTACATTTGTGTTTTGCTTACTATTATCAAGAATTTCCCTTTGTAGTTCAACAGGGAGTGCAATGAATACTTCTCTGTCAATACCACTGGGTAGCAGGAAAGGCACATGTTTTTCTGGATTTTGTGTGCTAGTTTTTTCATTATTAACTAACTTATCTGGAATATTGCAATTTTCTGATAATACTAAATCTTTTCTCGTATCACTAACAGAAACATTTTCATTTGTCTTATCTACCATCACTTTATCACCTATGTATTTAACATCAGTTGAACTTTTGCTAGTTTCAAACAACAATCTGTTATTAAAAGAATCCTTAAAATTTTCAGAAGAATCATTTATAGAGTAAGTGCTCTGTGTTATTTCACTGCTGCTTACACATGATTTCATTTGAGTTATTTCTAAATTTACAGTTTGTGTGTTGTTAGATGCTTGACATAATTTGCTACGTTTCATAACATCAGTTTCTTCATAGTCTAGGCTTTGCCTGGTAATTTGTTCTCTAGGGCGCTTTGAAAAAAAATTACTGATTGCTTGGGAATCGTGTGCCCGCTCAATAAATTTGTTGAACCCAACACCAACAAGGGTAAGGTGAAAATCCTTACTTGTATCAACCATTTTATGAAACAATCCCATAATTACATTTAATAATGTACATTTGGTATCTTCATTCACATTTTTACCACCCTGTGTAAATAATGAAGATGAAAGTGGAGCTTGTTTCGTTTCTCTTTGTCTAAACATTTTACCAGTGTTAAATTTACGAACCGAAACTTTAATTGATGATGGAATACGACCATCATCTGCAAGCAACTTAAGGAGCCTCTCCAACAAAGTGTAATACTTTTCTCTAACCTCTGCAACAGAAATTATTTTTTGAAACGCATCTTCTAATCCAATACTCTGTGGCCGGCCACTTTTTTTTACAGGAGTTTCATCTATTCCCAAGCTCAAATCTTTTAATCTTTGGCTTGTTTCATTATCAAATTTAGATGTCAGTATTTTAAATGCAGAATTCTGAAGTTGTTGTACAGTTAATATTCCTAGTTCCTCAAGTACTTTACTAGTAGCATATCCAATACCTGGTATACTATTAGCCGAGTGCAAGGAATTCATAATATCATGAACTTGCCATGGAAATAGAACAGTCTGTTGGTTGGGTTTGTGGTAGCCAGAAACAAGTTTAGCAAGTAATTTGTTATGGGCTATGCCAGCACAGCATGTGAGACCTAATGTTGCATGTATCTGCTGTCGTAGCTCTTTCGCTATGTAAGTACCAGCTATTAATCTTTCACGGCATCCACACCCGCACTGGTCTCCAAGGCATGCTACATTTGGAACTTTATCACCATAGACATGGCCCTCAATTTTATCATTTTGAGCACATAAGTAATTACCTACAATATCAGTTACATCAATGAAATTTTCATCCAATCCAAGCCTTTCCACATGAGGTGTGAATGTTTGGGCAATTGCAGAGATCTTGGAAGAAAACTGCCGGTAGTGAGAGAGATCAGAGCCATCAACTAAAACCAAATTGGGCAAAATCTCTAATGCTTCCTTCAGCCACATACTCTTTTTAACCCCAAGAGACCTTGCCATATAGTTACAGGTCACCATTAAATTCTTCTGTTTGATCCCAAGAGGCTTGTCCCGTAAACTGGGGTTGCGAACCATCTCCACCTGAGCATAGAAACAATCAACGTCTATATGTAGGACTGTTCTTTGGTGATGATCTGGAAGGAGAGCCCATTCATCATCTTGCTCGTCGAAGTCCTCCTCACACATCTGGAAGGAATAAAAGTCGTAACAGAGGTAGACAATAACATACAAGTGGTGATTTCAAGACACTTTAACAGGGAAAACCTTCATTGTAACACATTTCACCCACTGTATAACACCTCATGTATTAGGTAAAAGAACAACTGATGTACTGTCTCATGAAAATAATAAGGCAAAATGAGGATGCCCTTGAGGCAGCTATCCACCTCAATGAAACCTCAGAACACAGAGGAATATATATATTAGCACAACCCATCACACACACTGTGATCCAGACCTTGCCCCATATTGGTATTATATACCTAACTACTGTCTCCATGTGGATGAAACGTCATATAATAAAGGTTTTCACTCCAAAATGTGTCTCTGACATTAGCAGATGTAATGGACTATTGCAAAATTATTGTACTGCTCTCCTTCTCATCAGTGTGACTTTGTAAATGGTCCACGTCGGACCGAAACGTCATTGTAAGCTCCTCTCTTCTATGTGCGGGTTATTTGTGTATAAAGTGAGACATTAACTGAAGATGTTTACAATAGGGTGCAACCTTCAAAGGTGTTCTTTGAGTGCCTCCCCATTTGAGTTTAGTATTTTCACAAGATTATAATAATAATAATACTAATACAAGAACATAAGAAAGAAAGAACACTGCAACAGGCCTGTTGGCCCATGCGAGGCAGGTCCAAGTCTACTACCGGCTTAAGCCAATGACCCAACCTGGTCAGGTCAGGTCATATCCACTTAACCCTTAAATGGTCCAAACGTATATATACGTTTTTTCAACATCTGAAAGTATGTAAAAAAAAATGTAGATCTTCTTTTTTGTTTTACATTTGAAAACGTGTAAAAAACTTTTATCTACATTTTTTTTTTGTTATATTTGAAAATATGTAAAAAAATTAGATCTACTTTTGTAGCAATATGATTTTGAACGTTGATCTGTTTGGACCGTTTAAGGGTTGAGGAAGGAGCACAGCATCAGACCCTCTAGCACAACTGGGTAAAGTATAACATACATATTGTACAGTACAATCTGACAATTGTATATCAAAGAAAAAATGAAGGCAGACATTTTTTTCATTACAGTACAGGATAAAGTGTAAAATAATCCCTGTGAAAAGCAGAGGTGCCATAAGTGCAATAAGAAAACAATGTGCCAACATCTGTGCCCCCAGCAGTTATCAGAATTACTGCCAAGACAAGTGTAGAAGTCTTCTAGAAGAAACTAGACCACTGCCTCTACAAACCTAGATGTGATGGCTACATGAGTCACAAGGCTGCTAACAGCAAAGCCTAGTAGAACAGATAATGAACATGAAAAACTGGCCCCAGGCCAGTCTACAAGGGTAGAAAAAGAAGACTCAAAACTCATCACAGGTATAAAAGATCTCAAGATTTACCAGGTTTCATGACAAAATTTTCCAAACTATTGTACAAGCTGCACAAAGAGCATACTATATTCCTGCAATGGATAAAAGTGACTAAAACATCTCTTTGGGAAAAAATGTGGCATTTATGTTACACTGTGGTGTACCGTATAACAAAACAATGTAATTTTGATATAGTGAGAAACTATCTTAAAATACTAAAGGCTTATATTAGTTTATTACAGTATTAAATGAATGCAAGTGCACTGACGTCTCCAAGTCTTCAATTGGTCAGAAAATAGTTCCTATTGTTTAATTATTATTATTATTATTATAATCAAAAAGAAGCGCTAAGCCACAAGGGCTATACAGCGCTGTACTACTGTTTAAGAGTTCTATAAATATAGTAAAACTATTAGCAAGCACTAACCTAATATACTCTAATAGTATCCAGAAGCTACTGAATGTTCACATCACCAACATCGGCGAGTTATCCAAGTGACAAATTCAAATGGTGACAAAATATAACCACAAGTTAATTTTATCTAACAAAATAATTACTTCTGTGCTTGCTGATTTTACTAAATTTATATATGAAAGAAATTTTTGTCAGTAGGAAAATAATGGAGATTTCTCCTGACCGATCGGTGACCTGATATGATCACTGACATTCACAATACACAAAATTCACATACCTGTACCTAGATATTCCTTTTGTTCTTGAGTTCCTTTACCCGCTTTCTTTTCTCCCTTCGTTGAAGATATTTATCAACTTTATTTTCTTTCTTGAGCTGTTCAAATTGAGCAGCCTTGAGCAAAAGTTTGCGTTCTTTGCTGGTCATAAACTTGGGTTTCTTGCCTTCTCTTAGTAGACCCTTCTGCTGCTCTTTCTCCTCCTTCAGTATCTCCTTTTCTTTCTCTCTCTTTGACTGTTCAATTTCCTGGTTTTGCATACGTTGTATTATGGATTTTAGCTTTCGCCTCTTATTAGGGTCACCCTCTTTCTTCATCTCTTCTATCAAGATTTCCTTCTCTTTTCTCCTTGTCTCTCTGAGGAATTTATAATTATTTTTCCACGCATCTAAATTAAAGTACCCAGACAGATCGTCAAATCTTGGGTCGCGAATCGCTTTCCTCTTGATTTTCTGACTGGGGTCGAGGAAAGTGAGACAAGGCGCAGCTCTATGCATCATAGGCACCTCCCGCGGCCGGTTCTTATTGAGACGCTTGAATTTCTTGTGTTTAGGCTCCCCTGGTCCACCTCTGACCCCAGAGCTGTAGCTTGAGGGGGACTCCACAGCCCTCCCTAGCAGAACTTTCCGCTTGAATGCTTTTGTACCTATATCTTCCTGAAATTGGAGAAGTTCTTCCATGGTCATTTCACTGAAGTTTCTGTGGTTCTCGCTTGAATGGTCATCATCATCATCATCATCATCATCATCATGCTGCTCCGGATATTCATTATCTGTTTCACCATCATTCTCATCACAGCTGGAATCATCCACACTCTCAGCCAACAAACTTCTTTTGCTCATTTCTCGTGAAAATTTAAAGCGATGCGTCTCTCCAACAAGCTAAACTTGCCTCAGAGCCTCCAGAACTTACACCGAGCTTATATGCATATAAATCTCAACTAAAAGACACTTAAATTTAAAAACAAAATGCCCGAGAGAAATCCCCGGAGGTTGTACACATGTGGTCAGGGTTGTCAACACACTCTCAGATGATCAACATAACAATTCCTTCACACATTCTCAACAAACACATAAAACGTGAGAAAATGTATATTTACGAATGAATTTCATAATTAAAAGCTCATACCTGCTGTCCTATTGAATCCATGTGGGACAGTATGATAACAATGTTCCAGCAATAATTATGGATAACCAATACTGAATATAACAAAATTTGAGTAGTATATTAATGATTTGTTATTTAAAAAATGTTAAATGTATGCTTTATTGCCTTAAACATCCATTGAAGTCAATAAATTACATAAAAATGAACATTTTTATTTTCTAAAAGCTGATAAAATAAATGCAGTTCTAGGAACTTTCTTCGCAAATATAGAAACCGCTAAAAATTTATATTAATATTTCCTCTATAAATAAATCTATTACTAAGCTTACTATTAAAAAGATTCATAAAATTAATGTTTGTTGTTGAATAGTAGGATAAAAGAGTAATAGAGTTTTAGGAACCCCTGGTGCTGCTGCTGCTGCTGCTGCTGCTGCTGCCATTATTGATATTCGAATGTCTGCCGTTGGCGCCTTTTCTTTTTATTTTTCTTGAGATTTACTGTCTTCGACCATCAACGTGAGAACTATTAAGCCATCGAGATGTCGTCGACGTTGAGCTTCGCTGGAGAGAACAACAAGTGGACCACAGCTGATGATGGTAGTAGTAGTAGTGGTGGTTACAGTCGAGTTTATCTTGACACTAGTGATATACCTGTAATTATCTATTGTTTGTAGCTACGGCTGCAGAGCCATGTTCGTGGTGTCCCGTCATCTATAGCTTAGTCATTGTAGATATATTTTTAAATTGCCAGTGGTTGAAGCATGTACTACATACAGCCTCGTGTGACCGGGCTGGCCTAGTCAGGGGGGCCAAGTTGGCCTGGTCAGGGGGCCAAGCTGGCCTGGTCAGGGGCCAAACTGGCCTGGTCAGGGGGGCCAAGCTGGCCTGGTCAGGGGAGTCAAGCTGGCCTGGTCGGGGGCGCCAAGCTGGCCTGGTCAGGGGAGCCAAGCTGGCCTGGTCAGGGGGGCCAAGCTGGCCTGGTCAGGGGGCCAAGCTGGCCTGGTCAGGGGGGCCAAGTTGGCCTGGTCAGGGGGCCAAGCTTGGCCTGGTCAGGGGGCCAAGCTGGCCTGGTCAGGGGGCCAAGTTGGCCTGGTCAGGGGGCCAAGCTGGCCTGGTCAGGGGAGTCAAGCTGGCCTGGTCGGGGGCGCCAAGCTGGCCTGGTCAGGGGAGCCAAGCTGGCCTGGTCAGGGGGGCCAAGCTGGCCTGGTCAGGGGGGCCAAGCTGGCCTGGTCAGGGGGCCAAGCTGGCCTGGTCAGGGGGGCCAAGTTGGCCTGGTCAGGGGGCCAAGCTGGCCTGGTCAGGGGGCCAAGCTGGCCTGGTCAGGGGGCCAAGCTGGCCTGGTCAGGGGGGCCAAGCTGGCCTGGTCAGGGGGGCCAAGCTGGCCTGGTCAGGGGGGCCAAGCTGCCCTTTTCAGGGGAGTCAAGCTGGCCTGGTCAGGGGGGGCCATGCTGGCCTGGTCAGGGGGGCCAAGCTGGCCTGGTCAGGGGGGGCCAAGCTGGCCTGGTCAGGGGGGGCCAAGCTGGCCTGGTCAGGGGGGGCCAAGCTGGCCTGGTCAGGGGGGGCCAAGCTGGCCTGGTCAGGGGGGCCAAGCTGGCCTGGTCAGGGGGGGCCAAACTGGCTTTGTCAGGGATCAAACTGGCCTGGTCAGGCCCCTCAATGGAGGTTCCTTGACACTGATGAGGGGCTTTTGATCTAGGGAATTGGATTTGTGCTCCAGTTCCCTGAATTGAGCCTGAATACCTTCCTTCCCCCCCCCCACATGCCCTGTATAATCCTACTGGTTTACCACTTCCCATGATTATAATAATTATAATGGCCTGGTCAGGGACCAAGCTGGCCTAGTATAAGAGAAGTTTAGATTTTTATAGGTGCATTACACAGTAACTTGTAGATTACCTTGAATAATCCAGTAATGTCTGAATCACTTTGATTTTCTAACAGTGGAGGATCAATGCAGTAGGCCTCCCCATGGACCCCAATGGAAATAAGTCACTGACTTTTTTTTGGATTATCCTAGGTAATTTACACTAAGTAAACTTATTAAGCTTACTGGTCTATGCTCCTTCAAGGAAGGTGCCTTGGGGTCAATAAAGGGCTCTTGATTTGTGGAATTGTAACCTCTCTCTAATAAATTTATGATTAGAGCTGCCTTATTAATGTTACAACATTATAGTTTTGAGTAACCTAACATAAAATACAGAATTCTTTCTAATTACAGGCAACATTCAGAAATTGATCCTGCAATAAAACATAAGGTATAAAATGTGGATATGTTGAGCTTAACTGTATTTTATGAAGTAAACCCATGTGGGTCATTCAGCATAGGTGGTGGAACTATAGGTTGAGTGCTGACCATCTCTATTAGACATCGAGTATGCTCAAGAGAGTTTTATGTATCTCTCGATGTCCATGTTCCAGGGACCCTAATGGAAATAAATAACTTTGACTTTGTACATGATTGGTATAAAAATACCAACAAGATGAAAATTAGACATATGAAACATCTGGGTATATATCTTTAATGTAGACATTTCACCATCCAGTGGCTTTATCAATACAAATTCTAGGACATAATTTGAAAACAGTAGAACTATATACAAAAAGAGGAGGTAATCAGTTCCTCAGCCTTGGAGTTGGTGTGAAAAGCACTGTAGTCGTGAAGAATCTGGAGCACAGGCAAGAAGGCTGGCGCTTATATAATGGCATCAGGTGAAAGGGGACAGGTAGCAGACGAAGGCATTGTCACTGGTAGGCGGGATTCCCCAGTGGAAGTAGGTCGTACCCAAGGGACAGGGTAGTAGAAGTGAAGAAGGTTGTGGAGAGGTCCTCAGAACCAAGATTCCATGATGTTGCAGTGTCTGACAAGTTGTACATGAATGCTATAAAATACCAACAAGATGAAAATTAGACATATGCACCATTTGGGTATCTTTAATATAGACATTTTGCTATCCAGTGGCTTTATCAATACAAATTCTAGGACATAATTTGAAGACAGTGGAACTATATACAGAAAGATGAGGTAATCAGTCCCTCAGCCTTGGAGTTGGTGTGAAGAGCACCATAGTCGTGAAGATTCTGGAGCACAAGCAAGAAGGCGGGGTAGGGGTCGTCCTTGAAAAGGTTGGAAGGAAGGGGTAAGGGAGGTTTTGTGGGCAAGGGGCTTGGACTTCCAGCAGGCGTGCATGAGCATGTTTGATAGGAGTGAATGGAAACGAGTGGTATTTGGGACCTGACGATCTGTTGGAGTGTGAGCAGGGTAATATTTAATGAAGGGATTCAGAGAAACCGGTTATTTTTATATAGCCGGACTTGAGTCCTGGAAATGGGAAGTACAGTGCCTGCACTCTAAAGGAGGGGTTCGGGATATTGGCAATTTGGATGGATGTGTTGTGTATCTTTATACGTATATGCTTCTAAACTGTTGTGTTCTGAGCACCTCTGCAAAAACAGTGATTATGTGTGGGTGAGATGAAAGTGTTGAATGATGAAAGTATTTTCGTTTTGGGGATTTTCTTTCTTTTTGGGTCACCTTGCCTCGGTGGGAGACGGCCGACTTGTTAAAAAAAAAAAAAAATTTATTTCAGCATGGTACAATGTTTGTACAGAGATGGGTGCCATTTAGTTGTGCATGCAGAAAGTCCATAGTGTTTTATTGTCACCACATTTTATGTACAGTATATAACTTTTCTCCACAGTCAGAAATGCAGCCGAAGCCATTCGGAACACAGAGATTCTACAGTGCTTACAGTTGGAAGCCAACACTCTTGGTGTGGAGGCAGCAGAGGTGATGGGTGAAGCTCTAGCTGCTCACCCTGAGTTTGAACGTGCTCACTGGAAGGATCTCTTCACTGGCAGGCTGAAAACGGAGATTCCAGATGCACTAGTGAGTAGCACACAAGTTATTTGAAGGCTGCATTTTTATTAGCACAATACCATCTCATAAAACATGGATCTTAAGTTAGATTCAGCATATACTAATTGTACTCATGTGTACCTGTACCTAAATAAACTTATTCAGTTCTATTAAATTTGCAAGTGGACCCTCGACCAACAATATTAATCCGTTCCTGAGAGCTCATCGTTAATCGAAACTATCGTTAGTCGAGTTAATTTTCCCCATAAATAATGGAAATCAAATTAATCCGTGCAAGACACCCAAAAGTATTGAAAAAAAAAATTTTACCACAGGAAATATTAATTTTAATACACACAAACTGAAGAAGACATGTGCAATTACATGACACTTACCTTTATTGAAGATCTGGTGATGATTGATGGGATGGGAGGAGGGGAGAGTGTGGATGGTGTTAGTGTTTAGAAGGGGAATCCACTTCCATTAGGACTTGAGGTGTCAAGTCCTTTTCCGGGGTTACTTCCCTTCTTCTTTTAATGCCACTAGGGCCAGTTTGAGAGTCACTGGACCTCTGCCGCACAACATATCTGTCCATAGAGGCCTGTACCTCACTTGTTCAGGTTTCAATTCTTCACTGTCTATGTACTCCTTGAATTCCTGCACGTATTTTTCAGCTGCTTTTTGGTCCGAACTGGCAGCCTCACCATGCCTTATCACACTATGTATGCCACTACGATTCTTAAATCTCTCAAACCAACCTTTGCTGGCCTTAAATTCACTCGCATCACCACTAGTTGCTGGCATTTTTCTAATTAAATCGTCATGCAACTTCCTAGCCTTTTCACATATGATCGCTTGAGAGATGCTATCTCCTGCTATCTGTTTTTCATTTATCCACACCAATAACAGTCTCTCAACATCTTCTATCACTTGCGATCTCAGTTTCGAAAACATAGTTGCACCTTTGGCAAGAACAGCTTCCTTGATTGCCGTTTTCTTGGCCACAATAGTAGCGATGGTTGATTGGGGTTTTGTGTACAACCTGGCCAGCTCGGAGACACGCACTCCACTTTCATACTTAGCAATGATCTCTTTCTTCATATCCATAGTAATTCTCACCCTTTTTGCTGTAGGGTTGGCACTAGAAGCTTTCTTGGGGCCCATGGTGACTTACTTTGCAGGTGCAATCACTAAAAACGCTGTGATAATATGAAATGTTCCGATTGTATGTTTGGATGGGACCGCGGTGGCTGGCTGGCTTGTAAACACTGGCGACAAGTGGACGCATCTCGAACGGAACGAATCGTGTTGGTCGAGTTTTTTAGTGCTAGTCGAGGCAAAACTTTTGCGTTAAAATGTATCGCTAGTCGGATTTAATGTTAGACGATGCCATCGTTGGTCGAGGGTCCACTGTATATATATTTTGTAAAGATACCTTGATTAAAATATTTTCTTTTCAGGTCTAAATGTTAGGTTATGGGAGGTTCAGTGGTAAATTATACTTTTCCCCTTTTTAGTACATACCACCAGAGTATTCTCATGATGTACATTTCATTCTTTCAGCGCCACCTCTTTTCCGGTTTAATGCGTGCAGGGGCAAAGTTAAAGGAATTGGACTTGAGTGATAATGCCTTGGGGCCAATTGGTGTGGAAGGAATGGTGGAATTTATGAGTTCTCCAGTATGTTACTCTTTAGAGGTGAGTTGAGAGCTTTATTCTCATATAATGACTTGTGGTTTTAACACATTTATACTTTTTAAAATGTTTGGCATGTTTCACCATGTTCAGTCTCTGTAAGTTCTAGAGATTAGAGCGTGTAAACACTATTACAGAGACGTTGTCTACATATCATAGCTAGATAAGAATAATATACAGACAACCTGCACATAGGAGAAAGAAACTTATGACAACATTTTGGTTCGACTTGGACCACTAACCCTTTCAGGGTCGACAGGCCCTCTCCCAGACGTGTTCTCAGGGTTGCCAAAATTTCAGAAAAAAAAAAAAATTTATGAATAGATAGAGAATCTTTTCCCGATCATAATGACACCAAAATTATGAAATTTGATGGAAATGTAGAAATGGTATAAATAATATCAGCGCACTTGTGAAAGAATATTAGACTCACCAGTTGACGTGTATTGGACGCGTAGCATGATTTGTTTACTTTTGAACTTTGGCAAAAATCTAAGATTTCTGCTACTTTGAGCTAAATTTCAAGGTACTTTTCATTGTAAAACCAATCAAAATCATCTCAATTTCTGTAATGTGTCTTCCATTTTATAAAATGAGACCAGGAAAACTAGAATTCCGTCATAAATACCATATGAAAATATAGTGCAAAGTCGCTGTTTTAAACCAAGAACACTGTTTTTTTTTTTCTCGTTACGCACTGCGTGCTGCAGGATTTTTTTTTTATACTGCGCACACTGACCACATAGACCCATTCTTTCATATGTAGGCCTACCAGCTTTCTCTCACTAGATTTGAGGGCACTAGAATTTAGGCGTACTAGTATGTCAAAAACCCTGGTGCGTAAGCTGTACTAGTATGTCGGAAACCCTGAAAGGGTTAATTAGTCATACTGTGTGACTAGTTAACCCTTTCAGGGTTTCAGACATGCTAGTACGGCTTACGCACCAGTTAAGAATATTCTGGGAGCTCTTAAGTTCGAGGAATCTGGTTGCTATTATGAGGACATTCAAATAACATTGGTAGAATTACCAACAATATAATAGATAAAAGGACACATATGCAGCTAATGTGACATTTTATTGCAGCAATGTTTTGCTCTCCAGGAACTTTGCCAAGCTTGACAAAGCTCCTGGAAAGCAAAAAGTTGCTGCAATAAAATGTTACATTAGCTGCATTTGTCCTTTTACCTAACATACAAGGATGTCATTCACATAACTCATCTACATAATGGGAGATGTGATGGTAAATAATCATTCAAGTTCTAGGGACTCCAGTTAGGTATATAACATGTTCAACAATGGCTTCTACTTCTACAAACAAATTTGTAATATCCATAACTGCCTTCCCTAAGCCCCATATTGGCTAATGTCTGTCCTAAGAGCCCCTAGAAGCAGAACACTTCATTGTAATCCAATAAATCTTAGTTATCTAGCTACACACAAATAACCCACATAGGAAAAAGAAACTTGTGACAACATTTCGGTCCAACTTGGACCATTAACCCTATATTCAGTACCAGGTTTATCATGCAGGCAAACCATCTACATTTTGTGACATCAAAAACTATCCATGACCTCACTAGACCTAAAACACAATGATGTTACATCATAATGGATGTCTGTACTATGTGCAAAATGACAAATATGGGTGAAACATCATTTGATATTCACTAGAGAATTCAGGTATGCCATACCATCTATGCCATCAGCAATGCAAGTAATTTATTGTGGAAAATTCATTAAACCTTGTGTAACAATGACAGGCTAGTAACTGAGGATGAAGACAGGTGTGGAAAGATGTTTAGAAGCCGTAGTCACAAACAACACCATCCAAAAGAATCAGGGGAGATTGTTGCATTGTATCACCTTGTTCAACACATTCTCGGAAAATATGGACTAACACCTGACCTAATAATATCAAGTCACTCCTGTCATATGCACATTTTGCAAAACCCACTCTTTACCCATTCTGATAGTACATATAGTATTAGTTCTAAGTATGTGCTCCTCCATAGTGAAAGTTTGAGTGTTGACATTTACAAACTTTGATGTTCCTTATCAGATATAAAAGCCTATTTATTCTCCATTTTCTGCAGGAACTTCGTCTAAACAATAATGGGCTCGGTATAAAGGGAGGCACTATGTTGGCTGAATCATTAATGAAACTAGTGGCCAATGCCAACTCAGCTGGTACGCCCCTCAAACTTAAGGTATGATCTCTCACTAGGAATTGTAAGTATTTGCTGGCTAGTGTTATGTATAAAGGAGAGGAAATCGTGCATTTATTTATACCAACCAGACGAAAATGTACAGTATTTGACCAAATTAGTACAGTTACAAAACAAAATAATTGTCAAAAAAAAAAAAACTCCCATATATTCAGTGAATCCTAATTCTGGTTTCATATCAGTTCTTGATACAGTAAGTAATTACCAGGATGACATCCTCATAAAGCCAGTCAGGCTAAGCTACTTTTATTTTGCTCAAGGGCAAAAATACGTACTTGAAATAACTGAAATGTAAATAATAAAAAAATTATGTAAAATATCCTTTACAGGTATTCATTTCAGGACGCAACAGGTTAGAAAAGGAGGGTGCAAAAGAATTTGCAGAATTTTTTAAAGCAGTGGGCACCCTAGAGGAAGTAGCAATGCCCCAGAATGGGATTTTCCATGAAGGTATTGCAGCCTTGGCTGAAGCTTTCAGTATGAACCCAAATCTAAGAATTATTAACCTAAATGATAAGTAAGTAACGGTACTGTATATACCCTTTAGAGCTTGATATTTTTGTGATTAAACTGTAATGGAAAAAGAGTTGTTATAACAGAAATCATAAAGATGAGTATTTTTCAGTAATAAAAGCATTAAAGTTGGTTGCTTTTAAAAGTATTTGTTGTGACAGTCACTGTCAGAATTATTGTACTCAGTGATTCCTTACTCAAGATAATTTGTAGCCTCGTGATTGTGCTGTGATTCTTGATGGCTCAAATTCTCTTGCATTTCTGCAAAGTCATTGATCTTTCTGTAATGTTTTGTGATTTTCCATAGTTCTTGGATGTCCATCTTGTGAACTTCATCCTGTAATACTGATTTAAAATGTTATTCAATTTTCCCACCAACGAAAAATTTAATGATTCAGGTGCTCTGCATGTCATACACGATATATTTTGTTTCAGCACGTTTACCCCCAAGGGAGCTCGGGCTATGGCAGAGAAGTTACCTTCCATGCAAAACCTTGAAATAATAAATTTTGGAGACTGTCTTATCAAAACTACTGGTGCAAAATTCATCGGTAGTGCATTGTTGTCCGATCACCAAAAATTAAGGGTAATTTGATATTTTTCTTTTGCCTACCTCTGAAACTAGTGTCAGGCAAGTGATATCACAGGGATGCACAATAATGATTGACTGACTTCCTGGGTGAAATTCACTTTGCATTACAACTTAACAGGCCCAGTTGGAAATGTGGCTCTTATATTCACATTTGTTGACATGTAATGATTCTTTGTGTGATGATGACCTTCAATACATTCATCTCAGCTCAGTAAGGGCCACATTAACACTCCATGCACTTCCATGTCAACAAGCAACGTCCATTAGAATGTAAGGTTAAAATTTATTATTTTTGACTTATTAGGATATTTTAAAAATAAGTGAATGTGTTGATTACTTTGGGTCACTCCTACCTTGGATATTTTGGAGGTCTCAAGAATGTAACATTGTTTTTTCCATGTGTTCTTCAGATTAATAACTAAGATTACATGCCAATTTTCAGGAACATAACCCCCATTATAATTGACAATCTACTGCAGTTCTTTTTCCTGTAACATTTCCCTATCAGTGTAGGAGACCTGATCTGAGGTCCTGGCCACAAAGGTAGTGATTACATTTTTTCTCTTTATTGAGGTTTGAGATACCATCATTGAGTCCCCTAGTACTTAATATGCAGACAATCTTGTGAAAATTAACCATCACTTTAAACATTTGTAACAAATATACTACACACCATTTGCTTCAAATACTGTTTACATCCATAGGTGGTGAGTGTTGGACCTACAGTCACCCTGGTGCTTGGTCTGAGGCCCAAGGTGTTAGCCCTAAGTTTTAGTTTTCAGAAAAACTGCCCCATTTCTAACACTATACTGAAGACCATACATTGCTGACTAGCAAACTGCTGCACCCCATTTTGTACAAGAAGACTTCCTGTTTCTTAGGCAGTGACACAAATGACAGCCAAATTGCTTGATCCCAGTCATCCATAGAGTTCAAACCATAGAGCCATTATCAGTATCTCCAGTTTTATATCAGTAACCCTCTTTTGGCAGTGAGAAGGTCATCTGGAAAAGATCTGTGTCAGGACGATGTTGCTGATAAATATACAAACAAGAAATGGTGTACTAATAGTCGAATAAAACTGAAATAATTATTATTCACCATGGAAAAGCAGGGGTATGTGGACAGGATATGGTTGTCTTGGAAAGTATAACACAAGGGTAGAACACTGATAGCAAGCTAGGAGCCGAGACAACAATGAGACTTGTGTTTATAATAAACCATAAAATTGGCAAAGTGCTTGAAATATAAAGTGTAATTTTCAGTCAGAGAAAGATGATTGAGCTTGGACAAATGTTTTATTATTGGAATGGGATGATTGTATGACTAGTGTTTATCCCAGTAGTTTGATGGTGTTTATGATAGTAATGAATGGTTGATACAAATGCTACCAGGAGACCCACTTAATTTTTGTGTAATGGTAATGTATGGTTGATACTAGTGCTAACTTGAATGTAAATAAAACAAACTACTGATGTAGATTGTCCTGCTACTTCATCTTTGATATTCAAAATCAGCCTGCAGTGAATGTTTTAATTCATCAGTGGCTGTCAGATTGAGTAAAAAACCTTGAGTTCTATTGTTTTCTTTATTTAGCTCTTCCTGATTATAAATTAGTATTTTTAATGATTTAGTTGATGTTATAAGGAAATTATTGATATTTGCTGCAAAGGTGTAAGCTGTTATAAAAAAGATGTTCTTATTTTAATAATATTCTTAAAAAGGTATTTTATTCCAGGAACTATACTTGGACAGCAATGAAATTGGAATTGAAGGTGGCCTTGCCATTGCTGATGCTATGATCAACAAAAAGAATCTTAAAACTCTTAATTTGGATGGTAACCAGTTTGGTATGTAATATTTGTTTATATTCCTTGATTGAAGGTGCTGTACTTGTTTTAACCCGTAAACGGTTCAAATGTATACATGTATATACGTTTTTACTGCTAGTGCCCCAAACGTACATGTACGTTTTATTTTTCCTGCCTTCAAATTTGCCACGATTGGCCTGAGATGCCTTGTCAGCATAGAATGGGTTCTAACACTCAGTGTGTGCGGTATTAAAAAATCTGGGACCACTTAGTACCTTGTAGGAGCACCATTTCAAATGAGCACCAGCTACAGCAAACAGCGCAGCAAACACCTGGGATTCACTGATGTCATGTAGTATTAACACTCCCATTTTAAGAGGAGAGTGATTTTAACCCTGAGTTTAGTGGCTTTGAGGTGGATGTGGCCACAAGTGGTCGAGGAAATATAAAAAAGCCTCGATAATAACCCATGTGCAATATTTGTGCAACACCCTTTCAGAATGTCTTATAACCTATGCCCTAAGTAAAGAGAAACAATTCTGGCTGGCTTGCTGGCTAGCTGGCTGGCTGCTGGCGGCCTGGCTCTTTCTCCATTTGTCTGTCTATCTTTGTCTCTGTCTCTAGTCTATCTCTTTCTATCTGTCTGTCTATCTCTGTCTCACAGGTACACATAAATACAAGTATACATAGTGTAAATTACCTAGGATAACCCAAAAAATCAGGACAAAGTGCTATACTGTGTTTGAAGATGTGAGTAAACGTGATGACGACGCAGTCTTGTGGCTCTCTGAGACAGAGAGCTAGATGGATAGACAGACAGGGAGATTGACAGACATCTTTGTGTACCAGTGAAAACAAAGCAGACTCTAATCTTTTCTTATCAAGTCTTATCACTGCACCCTTGCGAATGCTCATCAAACGTCAGCTCTTATCAAATGTTATCTCATCTTATCATGTCACTGTCACCCCTCCCTCTCCCTCCCTCCCCCCCTCCTCCCTCCCTCCCTCCCTCCCTCCCTCCCTCCCTCCCCTCCCTCCCTTCCCTCCCTCCCTCCCTCCCCTCCCTCCTCCCCTCCCTCCCTCCCTCCCTCCCCTCCCCTCCCTCCCTCCCTCCCCTCCCTCCCCTCCCCTCCCTCCCCTCCCCTCCCCCCTCCCTCCCCCTCCCCTCCCTCCCTCCCTCCCTCCCTCCCCTCCCTCCCTCCCTCCCTCCCTCCCTCCCTCCCTCCCTCCCTCCCTCCCTCCCTCCCTCCCTCCCTCCTCCTCCTCCTCCTCCTCCTCCCTCCTCCTCCTCCTCTCCTCCTCCTCCTCCTTCTCACTATTATTATATACTTCCACATATCCAAAACATTGCTGGGATCTTTAAATACTTTGTATATATTTCAAGACAATAGTAAATGACCAAGGCAGGTGAAAATGTCCACCTGTCAATGTGTTTGTGACAATGTGAATACAATTTCAGTACCTAATACTAGTGTCAGAACAAAGATTGGTTATGAAATGATAAGAACTACTATAAATTGTAATTCTTCTTTCTTTCTTTCAACACACCGGCTGTATCCCACCGAGGCGGGGTGGCCCAAAAGAAAAAACGAAAGTTTCTCCTTTTACATTTAGTAATATATACAGGAGAAGAGGTTACTAGCCCCTTGCTCCCGGCATTTTAGTCGCCTCTTACAACACGCATGGCTTACGGAGGAAGAATTCTATTCCACTTCCCCATGGAGATAAGAGGAAATAAACAAGAATAAGAACTAGAAAGAAAATAGAAGAAAACCCAGAGGGATGTGTGTATATATATATGCTTGTACACATATGTGTAGTGTGACCTAAGTGTAAGTATAAGTAGCAAGACATACTTGAAACCTTGCATATTTATGAGACAGAAAAATGAACACCAGCAATCCTACCATCATGTAAAACAATTACAGGCTTCTGTTTTACACTCACTTGGCAGGACGGTAGTACAGTGGACCCCCGCATAACGATGGCATCACATAGCGATTAATCCGCATACCGCTTGCTTTAATCGCAAAAATTTTGCCGCGCATACCGATTAAAAACCCGCTCACCGATTTTCGTCCGAGACGCGTCCAATGTGCGCCCTCAGCCAGCCTCACATGTGCCGCCCGTGCCGTTGTTTACCAGCCAGCCTCCGCGGTAACATCCAAGCATACACTCGGAATATTTCGTATTATTACAGTGTTTTCGGTGCTGTTTCTGGAAAATAAGTGACCATGGGCCCCAAGAAAGCTTCTAGTGCCAACCGTACACCAATAAGGGTGAGAATTCCAATAGAAATGAAGAAAGAGATCATTGATAAGTATGAAAGTGGAGTGCGTATCGCCGACCTAGTCAAGTTGTACAAGAAACCCCAATCAACCATCGCTACTATTGTGGGCACCAGAAAGACAATCAAGGAAGCTGTTCTTGCCAAAGGTTTAACTGTGTTTTCGAAACAAAGATCGCAAGTGATGGAAGATGTTGAGAGACTCTTATTGGTGTGGATAAGTGAAAAACAGCTAGCAGGAGATAGCGTCTCTCAAGCGATCATATGTGAAAAGGCTAGGAAGTTGCATGAGGATTTAATTAAAAAAATGCCTGCAACTAGTGATGATGTGAGTGAATTTAAGGCCAGCAAAGGTTGGTTTGAGAGATTTAAGAAGCGTAGTGGCATCCATAGTGTGATAAGGCATGGTGAGGCTGCCAGTTCGGACCACAAAGCGGCTGAAAAATATGTGCAGGAATTCAAGGAGTACATAGACAGTGAAGGACTGAAACCTGAACAAGTGTTTAATTGTGATGAAACAGGCCTGTTCTGGAAGAAAATGCCAAGCAGGACCTACATTACTCAGGAGGAAAAGGCACTCCCAGGACATAAGCCTATGAAAGACAGGCTTACTTTGTTGATGTGTGCCAATGCTAGTGGTGATTGCAAAGTTAAGCCTTTATTAGTGTATCACTCTGAAACTCCCAGAGCGTTCAGGCAAAAGAATGTCCTCAAGGATAATTTGTGTGTGCTGTGGAGGGCAAACAGTAAGGCATGGGTCACTAGGGACTTTTTCTATAACTGGTTACACCATGCATTTGCCCCCAATGTGAAAGATTACCTAACTGAAAAGAAATTAGAACTTAAGTGCCTCCTAGTGTTAGACAATGCCCCTGGTCATCCTACAGACGTGGCAGAGCGACTTTATGGGGACATGAGCTTCATTAAGGTGAAGTTTTTGCCTCCTAATACCACTCCTCTCCTGCAGCCCATGGACCAGCAGGTTATTGCAAACTTCAAAAAAACTGTACACAAAAGCTCTGTTTGAAAGGTGCTTTGTAGTGACCTCAGAAAACTCAACTGACTCTAAGAGAGTTTTGGAGAGAGCACTTTAATATCCTCAATGTGTAAACCTTATAGGTAAGGCTTGGGAGGGAGTGACTAAGAAGACCTTGAACTCTGCTTGGAAGAAACTGTGGCCAGAATGTGTAGACAAAAGGGATTTTGAAGGGTTTGAGGCTAACCCTGAGAGGATTATGCCAGTTGAGGAATCCATTGTGGCATTGGGAAAGTCCTTGGGGTTGGAGGTTAGTGGGGAGGATGTGGAAGAGTTGGTGGAGGAGGACAATGAAGAACTATAACACTGATGAGCTGATAGATCAACTTCAACAGCAAGAGGCCAGACCTGAGGAAACTGGTTCAGAGGAGGGGAGAGAGAAATTGAAGAAGTTGCCTACTACAAAGATTAAGGAAATCTGTGCAAAGTGGCTTGAAGTGCAAACCTTCATGGATGAAAATCACCCTCACACAGCTATTGCAAGCCGTGCTGGTGATTATTACACTGACAATGTTGTGAAACACTTTAGGGAAGTCATAAAGGAACGAGAGGTACAGGCCACTATGGACAGATATGTTGTGCGAAAGAAGTCCAGTGACTCTGAAGCTGGTCCTAGTGGCATTAAAAGAAGAAGGGAAGTAACCCCAGAAAAGGACTTGCCACCTCAAGTCTTAATGGAAGGGGATTCCCCTTCTAAACACTAACACTCTCTCTCCCCTCCTCCCATCCCATCAATCATCACCAGATCTTCAATAAAAGTAAGTGTCATGTAAGTGTGCATGCCTTTTTCAGTTTGTGTGTATTAAAATTAACATTTCATGTGGTAAAAAAATTTTTTTTTCATACTTTTGGGTGTCTTGCACGGATTAATTTTATTTCCATTATTTCTTATGGGGAAAATTCATTCACATACCGATTATTTCGCATAACAATTACCCCTCTTGCACGGATTAAAATCGTTATGCGGGGGTCCACTGTACCTCCCTGGGCAGTTGCTGTCTACCAACCTACTACCTAGATAAATTGTAATTATCAGAACATAAAAATTATATAAAATAATATGAAAAATGGAAAAAAAAAAGATATATCGGCAACACTTCTGCAAGTGGCAGCGCTCCATGTTGCCGCCAGGTGATCGCCAAGTGCCAACTTTACGGCCTCGTATCTCGGTAAGTTTTTTTTTTTTTTTTTTTTTTTTTTTCAACAAGTGGGCCGTCTCCCACCGAGGCAGGGTGACCCAAAAAAAAGAAAGAAAATCCCCAAAAAGAAAATACTTTCATCATCATTCAACACTTTCACCACACTCGCACATTATCACTGTTTTTGCAGAGGTGCTCAGAATACAACAGTCTAGAAGCATACACATATAAAGATACACAACATATCCCTCCAAACTGCCAATATCCCAAACCCCTCCTTTAAAGTGCAGGCATTGTACTTCCCATTTCCAGGACTCAAGTCCGACTATATGAAAATAACCGGTTTCCCTGAATCCCTTCACTAAATATTACCCTGCTCACACTCCAACAGATCGTCAGGTCCCAAGTACCATTCGTCTCCATTCACTCCTATCTAACATGCTCACGCACGCTTGCTGGAAGTCCAAGCCCCTTGCCCACAAAACCTCCTTTACCCCCTCTCTCCAACCCTTTCGAGGACGACCCCTACCCCGCCTTCCTTTCCCTATAGATTTATATGCTTTCCATGTCATTCTACTTTGATCCATTCTCTCTAAATGACCAAACCACCTCAACAACCCCTCTTCTGCCCTCTGACTAATACTTTTATTAACTCCACACCTTCTCCTAATTTCCACACTCCGAATTTTCTGCATAATATTTACACCACACATTGCCCTTAAACAGGACATCTCCACTGCCTCCAACCGTCTCCTCGCTGCTGCATTTACCACCCAAGCTTCACACCCATATAAGAGTGTTGGTACTACTATACTTTCATACATTCCCTTCTTTGCCTCCATAGATAACGTTTTTTGACTCCACATATACCTCAACGCACCACTCACCTTTTTTCCCTCATCAATTCTATGATTAACCTCATCCTTCATAAATCCATCCGCCGACATGTCAACTCCCAAGTATCTGAAAACATTCACTTCTTCCATACTCCTCCTCCCCAATTTGATATCCAATTTTTCTTTATCTAAATCATTTGACACCCTCATCACCTTACTCTTTTCTATGTTCACTTTCAACTTTCTACCTTTACACACATTCCCAAACTCATCCACTAACCTTTGCAATTTTTCTTTAGAATCTCCCATAAGCACAGTATCATCAGCAAAAAGTAACTGTGTCAATTCCCATTTTGAATTTGATTCCCCATAATTTAATCCCACCCCTCTCCCAAACACCCTAGCATTTACTTCCTTTACAACCCCATCTATAAATATATTAAACAACCATGGTGACATTACACATCCCTGTCTAAGACCTACTTTTACCGGGAAGTAGTCTCCCTCTCTTCTACACACCCTAACCTGAGCCTCACTATCCTCATAAAAACTCTTTACAGCATTTAATAACTTACCACCTATTCCATATACTTGCAACATCTGCCACATTGCTCCTCTATCCACTCTATCATATGCCTTTTCTAAATCCATAAATGCAATAAAAACTTCCCTATCTTTATCTAAATACTGTTCACATATATGCTTCAATGTAAACACCTGATCTACACATCCCCTACCCACTCTGAAACCTCCTTGCTCGTCCGCAATCCTACATTCTGTCTTACCTCTAATTCTTTCAATTATAACCCTACCGTACACTTTTCCTGGTATACTCAGTAAGCTTATTCCTCTATAATTTTTACAGTCTCTTTTGTCCCCTTTCCCTTTATATAAAGGGACTATACATGCTCTCTGCCAATCCCTAGGTACCTTCCCCTCTTTCATACATTTATTAAACAAAAGTACCAACCACTCCAACACAATATCCCCCCCTGCTTTTAACATTTCTGTCATGATCCCATCAGTTCCAGCTGCTTTACCCCCTTTCATTTTACGTAATGCCTCACGTACAGCTGATGTGTTTAAAAAAAAATATTAGCAAAGCTAGATTGCTGTGTTAGTTTTGGTCTAAAATAAAATAATAAACTTGTTTATACACTGTATATCTATGTTTTTGGGGAGGCAGTCTTTTGGTAATGTACATTTATTTGTGCCACAATTATTTAAAGCTAAAGCATATTATGATTGTTTAGACCTTCCTTAATTAAACCATTCCAGGTGAAGAAGGTCGAGAGAATCTTGTTTATATACTGCAAGAGATAGGCTGTTTAGATGCCCTTGCTACTTTGGAAAATGATGAATCTCCTGATAGTGATGAAGATGATGATGACAGTGAGGAATCAGGAGATGACGAAGAGGAAGAGGAGGAGGAGGAGGAGGATGATGAAGAAGATGAAAGTGATGAAGAAGAGGATGAAGAAGTACATGAGGTGGTGGAATCTGGAGTTAGCCCGCTTAAAAGAACAGAAATGGCAGTGCAGCCTGTAAAAGTTAGTAGTATATTATACTGTATTTGTCAGGAGAAATCCTTGTACTGTACAGTAATTTATGCTTTTGTGCAATGTACTGTATCATGCTTAATGTATGGGCCTGGATATATGATGCTATCAAAGTGCTGTATGGTGGCTTGCTTTTTTTATTATTAGCACATCAGCTGTTTCCTGCCAAGTCAGGGTGATCTGAAAAAGAAATGCTTTCATCATCATTCACTCCAATACTGTCTTGCCAGGGACATGTCTATACTACAGTTAAAAAACTGCAACATTTCAACAACTCCCCTTCAGAGGCTTGCTTACAGTTATATAATTATTGGAGGCATAGCATTCTTAAATGCTTTTAAATCATAACCAAGTGTATTTTTGGGTATGAACCAAACAGTCTGTGTAACCCAACCACTAATGTTAATGTGAAAAGATATTCACCAGGAACAGTATGGGACAGATCAAGAACTAGACGAGCATTGTTAAGTAAGGCTGTTATTGTATTAAAATTTTGTACAATGCCTACACTTTAAAGGAGGAGTTTGGGATATTTGCTGTTTTGAGCGATATCTAAACTGTCATATCTGCATCTCTACAAAGATAGTGGTAGTGTGAATGATGGTGAAAGTGGTGGTAGATGGCCAGCGTGTTAAAAAAAAATTCTCATTGTGTTTCTGGAGATGGCCAATGTAAAAAAAAAAAATATTTGAGTTATGGCATAAGCAAATTTATTATTGGCTAGGTAGACTAAAGGGATAAATGTGTAATTGATTAGGTAGACTAAGGGGGGATAGGGTGAATTTTTTTATTTGCAAGGCCTAGTATATATGAAGGCAAAAAGAGGAATGTATCAGAGTATAGTGGTACTAGCACTTACATAGATTTGATTTTTTTTTTTTTTTTCAATGCACTGGCCATATCCCACCAAGGCAAGGATATCCTTGCCTTGGTGTGTGTGTGTGTGTGTGTGTGTGTGTGTGTGTGTGTGTGTGTGCGCGTGTGCGTGTGCGTGTGTGCGTGTGTGCGTGTGTGTGTGTGTGTGTGTGGGGTTGGTTGGTTGGTTGGTTGGTTGGTTAAAAGCAGGGGGGGATATAGTGTTGGAGTGGGTGGTACTTTTGGTTAATAAATGTATGAAAGAGGGGAAGGTACCTAGGGATTGGCAGAGAGCATGTATAGTCCCTTTATATAAATGGAAAGGGGACAAAAGAGATTGTAAAAATTATAGAGGAATAAGTTTACTGAGTATACCAGGAAAAGTATACGGTAGGGTTATAATTGAAAGAATTAAGAGGTAAGACAGAATGTAGAATTGCGGACGAGCAAGGAGGTTTCAGAGTGGGTAGGGGATGTGTAGATCAAGTGTTTACATTGAAGCATATATGTGAACAGTATTTAGATAAAGGTAGGGAAGTTTTTATTGCATTTATGGATTTAGAAAAGGCATATGATAGAGTGGATAGAGGAGCAATGTGGCAGATGTTGCAAGTATATGGAATAGGTGGTAAGTTACTAAATGCTGTAAAGAGCTTTTATGAGGATAGTGAGGCTCAGGTTAGGGTGTGTAGAAGAGAGGGAGAATACTTCCCGGTAAAAGTAGGTCTTAGACAGGGATCTGTAATGTCACCATGGTTGTTTAATATATTTATAGATGGGGTTGTAAAAGAAGTAAATGCTAGGGTGTTCAGGAGAGGGGTGGGATTAAATTATGGGGAATCAAATTCAAAATGGGAATTGACAGTTACTTTTTGCTGATGATACTGTGCTTATGGGAGATTCTAAAGAAAAATTGCAAAGGTTAGTGGATGAGTTTGAGAATGTGTGTAAAGGTAGAAAGTTGAAAGTGAACATAGAAAAGAGTAAGGTGATGAGGGTATCAAATGATTTAGATAAAGAAAAATTGGATATCAAATTGGGGAGGAGGAGTATGGAAGAAGTGAATGTTTTCAGATACTTGGGAGTTGACGTGTCAGCGGATGGATTTATGAAGGATGAGGTTAATCATAGAATTGATGAGGGAAAAAAGGTGAGTGGTGCGTTGAGGTATATGTGGAGTCAAAAAACGTTATCTATGGAGGCAAAGAAGGGAATGTATTAAAGTATAGTAGTACCAACACTCTTATATGGATGTGAAGCTTGGGTGGTAAATGCAGCAGCGAGGAGACGGTTGGAGGCAGTGGAGATGTCCTGTCTAAGGGCAATGTGTGGTGTAAATATTATGCAGAAAATTCGGAGTGTGGAAATTAGGAGAAGGTGTGGAGTTAATAAAAGCATTAGTCAGAGGGCAGAAGAGGGGTTGTTGAGGTGGTTTGGTCATTTAGAGAGAATGGATCAAAGTAGAATGACATGGAAAGCATATAAATCTATAGGGGAAGGAAAGAGGGGTAGGGGTCGTCCTCGAAAAGGGTTGGAAAGAGGGGGTAAAGGAGGTTTTGTGGGTGAGGGCTTGGACTTCCAGCAAGCGTGCATGAGCGTGTTAGATAGGAGTGAATGGAGACGAATGATACTTGGGACCTGACGATCTGTTGGAGTGTGAGCAGGGTAATATTTAGTGAAGGGATTCAGGGAAATCGGTTATTTTCATATAGTCGGACTTGAGTCCTGGAAATGGGAAGTACAATGCCTGCACTTTAAAGGGAGGGGTTTGGGATATTGGCAGTTTGGAGGGATATGTTGTGTATCTCTATACATATATGCTTCTAAACTGTTATGTTCTGAGCACCTCTGCAAAAGCAGTGATAATGTGTGAGTGTGGTGAAAGTGTTGAATGATGATGAAAGTATTTTCTTTTTGGGGATTTTCTTTCTTTTTTTTTGGGTCACCCTGCCTCGGTGGGAGGCGACCGACTTGTTGAAAAAAAAAAAATATATATATATATATATTGTAGGTAGTAGGTTGGTAGACAGCAACCACCCAGGGAGGTACTACCGTCCTGACAAGTGAATGTAAAACGAAAGCCTGTAATTGTTTTACATGATGGTAGGATTGCTGGTGTCCATTTTTCTGTCTCATAAATATGCAAGGTTTCAGGTACGTCGTGCTACTTCTTCTTACACTTAGGTCACACTACACATACATGTACAGGCATATATGTATATATATACACACATCCCTCTGGGTTTTCTTCTATTTGCTTTCTAGTTCTTATTCTTGTTTATTTCCTCTTATCTCCATGGGGAAGTGGAATAGAATTCTTCCTCCGTAAGCCATGCGTGTTGTAAGACACGACTAAAATGCCGGGAGCAAGGGGCTAGTAACCTCTTCTGTATATATTACTAAATGTAAAAGGAGAAACTTTCGTTTTTCCTTTTGGGCCACCCTGCCTTGGTGGGATACGGCCGATGTGTTCAAAGAAAGAAATATATATATATTTTTTTTTTTTTCAACAAGTCGGCCGTCTCCCACCGAGGCAGGGTGACCCAAAAAAAAAAGAAAGAAAATCCCCAAAAAGAAAATACTTTCATCATCATTCAACACTTTCACCACACTCGCACATTATCACTGTTTTTGCAGAGGTGCTCAGAATACAACAGTTTAGAAGCATACACATATAAAGATACATAACATATCCCTCCAAACTGCCAATATCCCAAACCCCTCCTTTAAAGTGCAGGCATTGTACTTCCCATTTCCAGGACTCGAGTCCGACTATATGAAAATAACCGGTTTCCCTGAATCCCTTCACTAAATATTACCCTGCTCACACTCCAACAGATCGTCAGGTCCCAAGTATCATTCGTCTCCATTCACTCCTATCTAACACGCTCATGCACGCTTGCTGGAAGTCCAAGCCCCTCACCCACAAAACCTCCCTTTTTTTTTTTTTACCAGACATCCTGAGATCTCTCAAGATAAAAGTATGCTCAAATTACATAGCCAGCATCTGTTAGGGTAGACAGTAGCAAAAACCATCAAGTGGAAATAAAGACACTGATATTAAATGGTTTCTCTGCTACCAGTGTCTTACTTTCAGCATTTGCTTGGGGAGATTGTTTAGCTGATTTTTGAAATGTTCACAGGAGATTCAGAATATTTTCCCTGTTATAAAAGTCAAAATTTCAAGGTTCATTCTGCTGAAGTGAAAATTTTGTGAAGCATTTTTTGAGAATATCAGAAATAGATTCTCAGTTTTAAGTTAAGATTTTTTTTACTTGTCTGAAAGATTTGTAATTTTGATATTTCAGATTCAGGACATTTTTTGAATAATGGAATTTGAAAAGATTAATTTTACTGTATATTTAGATTATTTGTATCATACTTTCCTTTATCAGTGTTTTCTGCCTCTTGCTAAGACAAGACAAAGAAAAGAAAGTCTTAGGAGTGATAGTACAGTATTAAACTTTAAAACTTATGTAATCAGTTGGTTTGTAACAATAAGATTGCACTTTATATTGCACTCATAATTGTTCTTTGTTTTTGACTAGTGCACAGCAGCTGAGTTTTATGAGCAGCCAACAGTGGGAAGACTGCTAGGTCTAGGAAATTCTGGTCCCTCCCAGCTAGTAGAAGAAGCTAGGAGAATGGGAGGGAGATCTGATGAAGAGTTCATTTTCAACTGTTTTGGCATGTTTATGCGAACTGCATCAATAGCAATTGCAAGTAATAATGAGGTATGATATGTTTCTGTAAGTGCTTTTGTGCTTAGAATTCAAGAGATGTATATTTATGCAATATATACATCAGTGGTGAAACATGAATACTGTAGTTTGTTGTAATAGTATAGGTTTATCACACTAAACTTTATCATCTCTCTTCCTGTCCCCATTGTCCCTCTCCCTCTCTCCCTCCCTCCCTCCCTCCCTCCATCCTTCCTTCCCTCCTTCCTTCCCCTCCTCCCCTCTCTTTCCTACTTCCCCTTTCCTCCCTCCTATTTGCATTAATATATATTAATTCTCCTCTCCTTGCTCTATCCCTCTATTTGTCAAACTTTTATTTTTCCTACAGATTCAGGAAGCTGTGAAGAATGCGACAGAACATATCGCCAAAGCTGTATTTGCTGCAGCCCAGAATGGAGATTTATCTTCTGTTGTTACAAATAATCTTCTTGTACATCTAGGTCTTATTAAATGTGAGGTAATGCTATCAGACATGTTACAATGATCATGCTTTCTTTCAGTGACAATGCATTTAAGATAAATTGACTATGTGCATAGTTACACCTGAGTATTTAGATCAATAAGCAGAGTAAAAAATTTTGTGTATAATTTTTAGATGGACATGTTCATGTTGGCCTAACTTCTAATTGAAATGATAATGCAGGTTCTTTCTATGACTTTAACTGAAACTGATTCAATACACCAAGAGTAACTACCTTCTTTTACATTTGGCCCTCAACACTTTCCACCTCGCTATGTAGCACTGGGATGAGTTTTCCACATTAGCAGTAGCTTTTTCTGAGGGCTTATAAATCTTGAAATCTAAAATAAACTTAGCTTCAGCTCTCTGTGGATATCAATATTGAAAGCTTATGTATATTATTATTAAGAAAATGAATGACTGTTATAATGTGTGATCTAATTGAAGTCCATGTTTATTTGTGGAATTAACAGTATTGTGTCAGTAAGATGGCATGGTTTAGTGCAAGAAGGCCAAATTATTTTCAACCTATATCTTAAATCAGGTGAATTTAATACAGTATACCTTCTTTATCCTTCTTTATCCAGTTTTTTTTTTTAACACATTGGCCATTTCCCACTAAGGCAGGGTGGCCCAAGAAAGAAGAAAAATTTTCATCATTCACTCCATCACTGTCTTGCCAGAGGCATTCCTACATTACGGTTAAAAAACTACAACATATCAATGCTCGTCCTTCAAAGTGCAGACACTGTACTTTCCACCTCCAGGACTCTAAGTATGGCTTGCCAGTTTCCCTGAATTCCTCCATAACTTACTTTGTTCACACTCAAACAGCAGGTAAAGTCATAAAAGCCATTTGTTTCCACTTGCTCCTATCTAGCATGCTCACACATACTTGCTGAAAGTCAAAGCCCCATGCACACAAAAACCTTTAACCCCCCTCCCTACAACCTTTCCTAGGCCGACTCCTACCCTGCCTTCGTTCTACTATAGATAAAGTATAATTATTATTGTTACAGCCTCTCCTCACTTAGTGATGTACTCGTTTACCGATGACTCGGATTTACAACAGGCTGTCTGACCAGTGTGCATACCTAAATAATGTATATTAGAGCTGATTTCCTCTATTCTGTTTTTTTACAATACACTACACTACTGTATAAGCATTTAAAAATATACCAGAAATGTTATAAATGGTGCAGTAGTGACATTAAAGCAATATCAAAGATGGTTGACATAAAGCAACTACCATTATAGTATGCTCTTCACTTGGCGACGAATTCATTTACCAACATGGTCTTAGGAATGGAACTCCATTGTTAAGTGAGGAGAGGCTGTATTTGTTGTTTCATTTGTCAGGAAACAGGGCAAGTGCTTCCATTCACAGGTCTTAATTATTTAGATGATCCATTGATGATTACTGTAAAGTAAGGATGGGTGGGGATATTGTAGTTTGGAGGGGTATCTTAACTTTAGTATCAGCATACCTCAAGACTGATGGAGTGAGAGATGGTGAAAGCGTTCTTCTTTTTCAGGTCCCTCTGCCTTGGTGGGAGACAGCCGGTGTGTTAAGAAAGATTGTTAGATTTGTTGATATTGCTTATTATTAGTCAGATTACATTATACTTTTGTAATGGGAAAAATGCGCCTAAAATATTTAGGTTTTAGTAGCTAAATATTATTATTTTTCAGGATAAAAAATTTATTTTGGATTGGGACTTGCATGGATGTCTTAAGATGTTAACGTGTCTTGTGACCCAGCCCCTCTTCCCATCTCAGACAAAGAGTGCACTTCAGTTATTCCTATCCAGGTAAAATGGAATGTTGTTATATATCTTATGAAGAATTTCTGATAAGTTTTTTGGGGAAGTGGAACAGAATTCTTCCTCCGTAGGTCATGTGTGTCGTAAGAGGTAATTAAAATGCCAGGAGCAAGGGGCTAGTAACCCCTTCTCCTGTATATATTACTAAATTTAAAAGGAGAAACTTTTGTTATTTTCTTTTGGGCCACCCTGCCTTGGTGGGATATGGCCAGTTTGTTGAAAGAAAGATTTAGATTTTCATGTTTATTGTTATCTTTGTTGGAACAGTAGAGTTGTATTAAGATATTCTACCCTGCTTGGCCAGGATATGGCTAGTTCATTGAAAAAAAAAGATATCCCTCTCACATTAAACTAAACTTGTTTTTGTTATCATCCTTTCTATTCATACTATTAGTCACAGTTTACGATATGCTTTACCTAGAATACATAAATTCTTTCTTAGACACTGAACAGTTGTACCAAACATTCTAGTCTCAAACATTAGCGTCTCAGTTTTATCCCATCCACCCCTGCTGCTTCGCTAATTTTAACTTAATGCTTAAATTTTTTCATACTTTTAACCCTAGAAAGGCTGTATTGCTCAATCGCTGAAAAAGTATTGATTTTTGTACTGTATTACATTTGTTCTAAAATTAAACCTAATAATGGTAACTCTCTTTCAGACCAAATTCAAGAATAGATGCATGTGTACAGGAGAAACATAAGTTGATGGTAGCACTGTTTCAATAGCACCATGAAGCATTAGCATATAATTGATACTCAGGAAGAAAATTGACAGAAGACAAGACTTTTAAAGTTATAACTGATGTACATAATATATTGCAATAAAAATTTAATTTTTTTGGTTGCCTTTCTTTGTATGACTCATTTATAAAATTATGTCTTTCCTTTTCTATAGACCCTACCCTGCCTTGTGTGTAATTGCATTTTAGGGAAAACAAAAGAGGGTTGTTTCACTCAAGGAACAAAGTGGATGTAGGATAGTTTCACTGTGTTGAACATGGTAAATCAGTTCTATTCTGAACTGAATTTCCAGCTCTTTTTATAAACCGGTAATCCTTCATTACCTAAGTAACAACAGTGTTATGTAGAGGTGTAAATTGCTTATACGAAATTACCAATAGAAATAGACCATCACATATCAACAAAAATGTATAAAGTGAGGAAGTGTTAAAATTATTGTCTAACACTATATGAGCATATTTTATTATCGTTGGAGGTGCCTTGATGCTGGTGAGGGGGCTCTTGATCCAAGAAATTGTACTCTAGGATCAAACCTGATTGCCTCCTATTTACCAGGCAGTGTGTAACCTCTACGGGTTTAGTATTCACTCATGATAGTAGTAGTAATCACTGAATTTTGCTTGTTTGCCATTTCATAAACTATCAGTTCAAGGAAATATAAATGGATGTAATGTATTGGTGAAAAGTTGTCATTATTTTAAGAATTGATAGACGTGAATAAATGTACGATTATATTAAAGGCTTTTTAACATCTCCGCGTACACTTTAATCCTGCTCTCTAAATTCTTCATGCTTGTTAGGATTATTTTAAAGCCATTAATGGACTAAATGTGCATTTGAGCAGTCATTTTTAAACCCCAAAAGTGTTTTGTAATTTTTGTTCTTGTGTGAGCTGTTTAGATAATTTAATGATTAGTAAAATTTTGTTACTGTCCAGTGAAATTTATTGATAAGGAAAGAATTAATTTTATACAAGGCAATCAATGTTAAATACTGTAATAAACCTTTGTAATGACTTAAAGATTTTTCAGTTTTGTTGTCTATATGAAGTTGTTATTCAAGAAGAATATTAAAATTGTTTGTTTATCTAGTAATTTGTATTTTTGTGAATAAAAATTTTGTGTACTCTTCTTTCAAGTTTCTGAATTGTACAGTGCAAAAGTTACCAAAGAAAACTTCTTTGAAATAAAATCTATAACATTACGGTCTCTCTTTATCATGGATTTACATAGGTTTTTGTGTATGTTGTCACTAGGCTAAGTTAGATATATAATGTCTTGTTATAGTTATTCACGGTGATAATTAGAAAAATGCTTTTTCTTCTTGTCATAAAGGTGGGAGGAAAAGGTAAAGGAAGTTTTGAGTGGTCAATGGCTTGAACATCGAACAGGCTTGTGCGAATGTGTTGGATTGAAATGATTGGAGGCTAGTGGTTTTTATGACAATGTGCTGTCGGAGTGTGAGCAAGGCAACAATTCTAAAGGGATTCAGGGAAACTGGTTAGAAATGTGAGTCCTGAAGGTGGGAAGTACAGTGCCTTCACTCTGAAGTAGAGGTGAAGATATTGCAGTTCAGAGAGCCATCTGAACTGTGACGGCAGCTTGCTTCTGGCAGAACTTGACTGAATGATGCCGAATGTTTCATCGTTTTATGGGTCACCCTCCCCTCAAGGAAGGTTCCTTGATGTTGGTGAGGGGCTCTTGATTTAGGGAATTGGATCTGTGCTCCAGTTCCCCGAATTAAGCCTGAATGCCTTCCACATCCCCCCCCCAGGCGCTGTATAATCCTCTGGGTTTAGCGCTTCCCCCTTGATTATAATAATAATAATATGGGTCACCCTACCTCGGTGAGAGATGGCTGGTGTATTAAAGAAGTTACATGTATTAATAGACCTTTGTGGGCTTAGTACTTGGTTCTGATTATAATAATGTGTATTAAAAAAAGTGACAAACCCATGTTATTCAACAATGTGCAGCAGAAGCAAGATAAAGAGCAAATTAATGCAAGCACTTGATAATTGAGGCTATTTCCCTTAAGGAAGTTTAGCCCTTTTTGATTATAATAATAATTCCCTTAAGGAAGGTTCCTTGATGTTGGCAAGGGGCTCTTGATATAGCAAATTGGAGCCCTCAAGGAAGGTTCCTTGATGTTGATGAGGGGCTCTTGATTTAGGGAATTGGATCTGTGCTCCCCTCAAGGAAGGTTCCTTGATGTTGGTGAGGGGCTCTTGATTTAGGGAATTGGATCTGTTCTCCAGTTCCCCAAATTAAGCCTGAATACCTTCCACATCCCCCCCCCCCCCCAGGCGCTGTATAATCTTCCGGGTTTAGCGCTTCCCCCTTGATTATAATAATAATAATAATGGATCTGTGCTCTAGTTCCCCAAATTAAGTCTGAATGCCTTCCACATCCCCCCACCCCCAGGCGCTGTATAATCCTCTGGGTTTAGCGCTTCCCCCCTTGATTATAATAATAATAATAGCGAATTGGATCTGTGCTCTGGTTCCCTGAATTAAGCCTGAATACCTTCCACGTTTCCCCCACAGGTGCTGCATAATCCAATGGGTTTAGTGCTCCCCCTTGATTACAATAATAATGAGGCTATTTCTACAAATAAGTATTTGCATTATCATACTGTAAATTGAAACCTTTCAAGGGCCTGGAGCAATGCTGTATGACCCTGGTAGGTTTAGCATTTAGTTTTGATTATATTATTATAATCAAAAAGAAGCGCTAAGCCACAAGGGCTATACAGCGTAAACCAGAAACAGCACTGGTCCTAATGCTGATCTTGTGGTACACTGCTTATTATTCTTCCCAGACAATCACTTTGCTTCCTTTCCATAAGGTACTTCTTGTTCAGCACTTCACAGACCTTGTCATTTTCCGTGGGCTCTCCTTCAGTCAAATTACCTGGTCCTTTATTAAATCTCTCATGGTTTTTACACAATGTACATCTCTCAGAATCTCCAAAATTTCTGACACAACCCTAACCCCACCTGACTCTGAAAGAGCCAGTGACATACCCATGCAGTGTCCTGTTCCTTCAATTATTATAATCATAACAGCTGTATAGCCCTTGTGGCTTAGCGCTTCTTTTTGATTATAATAATAATAATGTTTCTGGTTTACATGAGTGAAATGCCAGATGAATCTAGACAGATGGAAAGGCTACAAAAGGATCTGGATAAACTAAAGGGTTCATCCAATTAATGGTTGCCTGAGTTCAACTCCAGGAAATGCAAGGTTTCGAAGATGGGAAAGGGGCCAGAAGACCCGGACACAGAGCATAGACTTGAGGGATAGAGGATGTAGACTCCATCTGCTGTATGATCCTTATGGGTTAAGTGCTTGGTTATGATTATAATAATGTAATCTTATTCCCCTAATGGATTTAGTGCTTAGTTATAATTATAATGTAGCCCTCATTCAAACAGAAAGATCTGGTAGTAAGCATAGTGCATACCATATCACCAGAGGCTCACATTAACCAAATAACCTCTGTAACTAATGTTGACCTGGCAGATCAAAAAGTGACCTTCAAGAATCTCATTATTATTATTATAATCAAAAAGAAGCGCTAAGCCACAAGGGCTATACAGCGCTGCAGGGTAGGGAAGGAAGCGAGGGTATTGGATGGCAGAAGGGAGGAGGGATGATCAGTAGGTTACAGAAAACAGCGGGGCAGGGGATAGTACGGGGGTAGAGGGTAGCAAGAGATTGAAGTAGAAAGGGCTGAAGGTATCAGAATTTGTGAAGTAAGTCAGTTGTTGTCAAAAAGTCAATGAGAGAGTCCGGATGAAAGGTGGGTCCATCAGCGAGAAGGGAAGGTAAAGAGAGAGCAGCGGAGCGAAGACGACGACGGAGGTAAATTCTGCGTGCTCATTGGTAAAGTGGGCAGTCCAACAGAATGTGGCTGACTGATAATGGAGCTTGGCAATTCTCACAGAGAGGAGCAGGGCCCCTCTCCATGAGATATCCATGAATAAGACAAGTATGGCCAATGCGAAGACGGGAGAGAGTAGTCTCCCAACCTCGACACTGGTGGTAAGAAGATGGCCAGTAACCTATACTTGGTTTAATAGACTGAAGTTTGTTGCCGAGCATAGTAGACCAACGGTGTTGCCAACGGGTGTGAAGGTGGGAAGATATTGCAGCAAAATAGTCCGTAAATGGAATACCTCTATATGAAACTGGTAGGTCATGTACTGCTGACCGCGCAGCAGTGTCTGCCTGTTCATTGCCCTGTACGTCAACATGACCAGGGACCCAACAAAAAACAATATCTTTATGCTTGGTAAAGATGCGGCGTAGCCAAAGTTGGATACGGAGGACTAAGGGGTGAGGTGTATCAAATTTCTGTAAAGCACTAAGGGAGTCTGAGACAACCACAAATGATGACACAGGCATAGATGCAATCAGGAATCTCAACATAGAATCATTTAGGATGCTTTATACAACATACGTCAGGCTCATCTTGGAGTATGCAGCACCAGTATGGAACCCCCAAATGAGGCAACATGTTAAGAAACTGGAGAAAGCCAGAAACATGCAACGTGACTATTTCAAGAGCTAAGGAGTATGAGTTATGAAAAAGGCTAAAAGAATTTAATTTAATGACACTGAAGGACAGAAGGACGAAGGAAGATATAACACCATGCAAAATATTCAGAGGAATTAATAGGGCAGACGGACAGCCTGTTATAGAGGCAGAAAATGTACTCGGGGACATAGCTGGAAGCTAAAGACAGATGAGTCACAGGGATGTCAGGAAGTACAGTACTGGGCTTTCTGCATGCATGCCTAAATTGCACCCGTCTCTGGGTGAAATTTTACTATTTCTTTAGTGTCAGGGTGATCGGGAAGTGGAATGACCTCAATGAAGAAGTGGTGGAGTCAGACTCCATACATAATTTTAAGAACAGGTGCGACAGGGCCCACAGGTTAGGAGAAAGTGAATCTGGCAAGCTGCAAGTTGAGAGATGGGGCCAGGAGCTAAGACTCGACTCCTTGAACCACATATAAGTGACTGAGGTACACACTTCTGGGTGTATATACACTGAGAGATACTGTGGAAAATTTTTGATTTTCCGAAGC